CTAGATTGAAATTCATTTATTTGCATAAACTCACATTCTTGTGGAACTGAAAAGCTTTCAAACGTATCTCCAAAACCTCGAAAAGCATTCTGCTGGCTTTTTATGATCTTCTTTCATAATACCCCATTGCTAGGAGAAGCCAACTGACAAAGATAACCCGCAGTCTTTTAACATGCTAACCCGTTCCTATATGTAGACAACTGACAACGGTAATCCGATACTACTGCGGTACAACACCCGCAATGGACCAGCGGTCTTCAAAGGACACATACTAAGTAAGGCCCCATTCACAATGAAAACTTTAACGTAACGTAATGCCGTAAACTTAGCAGTAAAATTCACAAGAAAAACAATCATTCACAATGACAAATGTAAGTTTCGTCTTTGTGAATGAGTGAATGTGAATGAAATTTATGCCAATCAAATTTCAGGGTATTGAAGTTTGATTGATTGTCGATTCATTTCTAGCATGGTGAAAAGATCTTTCTACCATAGTTTCTAGCTTTCTCTTCGTTTTTCCTACCGATGTATTTATATATAAATGCGAGTAGTTGTTGTATTAGTGCTCGCATTTCCTTGACTTAATAAACAAGGGTTCTCTTGTACCAAATTTACAAGTGATTCGTCGGGCGTAGTTATTTTAATCACCACGTCAATTTGAAATCACAAGGAAAATATTCCAAATTCTTACATTGAATTCACTACTCGCGTCAAAACAGTTAACAAACTAGTTCAATACATAACAGCAATGTCTAGGTTAAGTCAAATCATTGTGAATGGGTCTCAATAATAAACGGTAACTGGTCTCATTTCTAGTTTTGTGCTAATGTTCCAGTTATAAGTTTTGTGCATTGTCAATGAAAGTCTAATGGCTGTAGATCAACTTAGCTGGAATGTTCGAGGAGTAGTTCGGTCAAAACAGTTCAGACAAACTAGTTCAATAATAACGCAATGAATGACATACGCAAAACTACTTGACACAACCGTTTTTTTGTTCCTCTTCATGCGCTTCTGATTGGTCATTTCGGTAGATTCCGACGTAAACAAATTCCCGACGTACATTACCCGTAAAAGCTTGTGCTATGTGACTCATGAAGTGTATCGGTTTACAGTCTAGGTTACGTCAAATCATTGTGATGGTCTCACATAATAACACGGTAAATGCGTTCTCATTTCCTAGGTTTGTGCATGTTCACGTTTAAGTTTGCATGTGAATGAAGCTAATGTGTAGATTCAACCTTAACGTGGAATGTTCGAGGATATGTCGCGTCAAAACAGTTCAATGACAAACTAGTTCAATACTAACAGCATGAAATGACATAGCGAAAAACTACTGACACAACCGTTTTGTTTCTTCTGCTGCTCTCTGATTGGTCATACGGTAGAATTCCGACGTACAAATTCCGACGTACACTTACCGTAAAAGCTTGGTGCTTGTGAACTCATTGAAGTGTACGGCTTTTACGTCTACGGTTACGTCAAATCTTGTGAAATGGTCTCACATAATAACACGGTGAAAGATGGTTCTCATTTCTAGGTTTTGTGCTAATGTTCCGTTTAAGTTTGCATTTGTGAATGAGTCTAATGGTGTAGATCAACCTTAGTGGAATGTTTCGAAGCGTAATGTTTTTTTGAAAGAGACTCGAAGAACATTCTAACGACAATTTCATGAGGTACTTTTGTATCTATTCGTAGTTTATTTTTTATACAGGGTTGCGGGATACACAAGAGATAATATTGTAAAATTAAATATTAAAAGTTCTCATAATGTAAAAGATATTCCAGATAATTTGATATTATCAGTATTTATTGAATCATTCCCTAGCCGATTTAAGTACTGCCCGATTATTTTAATGTCACTTTAAGATACCTTAGTAAAATACCATTGAATTTTATTTCTGTTTCATTAGTTAACCCACAACTTAGTATCATGATTAGTGTCAATTTTTCATATTCTGAAGATTCAAACAACCAAAGGGTTGCTCATGTTGTTTGTTTCCAATGAAAATAAGTTCTTGTTATTTTGTTTGTGTCGCCTACATCTGTTATCTGTACATCACATCGGGTTGAAAAATAATTGACATTGAGTGGTAGCCTCAGGCACGTACCGCTCACATACACAGAACGAGGTATTCAAAAAAATATGTTTATGTATAATCTACATTATTCACATTGGCAACGACGAGAGGCATGTTGCACATCCAAATAAGCGCTAACGGTCTCGCTAATCAAGGTTTGCATTAATTCTAAAACCGGCGAGCGCAGTGTGTTTTTTTTAATATTGGCCCTGGGGAAAACGGACATGCTGCGCACCGACAGAAATAAAATGTTCACTCTGCGTTGTGCTTCGATACACGGTGTGCACCCAGTGCAATGAGACCCATCGAACTACCTTGTGTCATACAAGAGAATGTATGCAGGATTTAGTTGTTACGAACTAAAATTTCACAAATTCCACCGAACAAAGATTTTAAGAATAAATATTAATAACGATAGTAATAAGTCGGCCGCGTGGCGCAGACGGTTGCGTTACCGTTCGCTGTGCCGAGGAGGCTGTAGGTTCGAGTCCGTGCGTAGACATTCGTCGTATTTCTAATTGTCCCTTCTCCATCATCATCATGATCATCATTCCTTTCATCTCATTAATACACACATCAAGGCGTAAAACCTGTTGTAATCCAGGATACCAGCTGGAAAAGCGATCCTAGGAGAATTACACACGTTAATCGTTGTAGTGTGGTAGTAATGGCTATATGCTATATAATAATAATAGTAATAATAACATACTCGCTAACATTAATTATACTGGACCTCCCCTGCTAACGCTGGTTGTTCTTCATCACTAAGTTGCCAAACGCATCCATGTATCACTCAGCGATCCCTGTTCTTTTACAGCTAAATGAATATTGTATTGAGACTTTTCAATGAGGGGAAATAAGCACTTTTTCTGTAAATTTTGGGCATCCCCAGAACGCATTGTCCCTTGACCCGTACAGTAAATAATAACCATAATAAACAAATAATAATCATATATAATATATTTAAAGTACTAATACAAAACACTTTGAATTACAAAGAGATTCACCTTCAGTCTCCAGGAATGTATTATATTCAGTAGATGCTCATTAGTCAGGTCGTTTGTGGGAAGTAATGGAGAAGTTTTTAGATTCTATAAACATCTATATAAATGTGTTACTATATTACACACACTAATATGCATTCATTTGTAGTCTCAAAGATATTAATTTTGTTTATTGGAATCGAATTAATTCATAACATGTATTATTAATTTGATAATCTTGCTTTGGTACATATCTATGTGCCTTCTGTGTGGGTACCAGTCAACTGTGAATAATTAATAATAGCAATAATAATAATAATAATAATAATAATAATAATAATAATAATAATAATAATAATAATAATAATAATAATTTATTAAGAGGCCGGCCCCGTTGCACAGATGGTTGCGACAACCACCGTCTGCGCCGAGGAGGCTGCAGGTTCGAGTCCTGAAAGGCATAGTCGCCTTTGTGATATTTTGCTTCACCCCTCATCATCATTCTATCACTTAATAATTCACGATTCAAGGCGTAACAACCTTGTCTTACCGAGTAATATAGCTATACGTTAATCGTGTAGCGTGGTCAGTAATAGCCTATACGACAATAATAATAATAATAATAATAATAATAATAATAATAATAATAATAATAATAATAATAATAACAATAGTGGTTATTAAGTGGTGAGCCTCAGACCTTGACGCCTGTCCCCGCGCCTGATCACAAATCCTTCGTCTCTACTCTACCGGCCACGCCGTCGTCTCTACTCTCGCCGCCCGCCGTCGATCGCTCCGAGATCCTCTCCTCTTCCCCCTCCCCCTCCCTCTTCCTTCGGCGCGTCTCATCGGCTGCGCGCGCCTTTCAATTAATCTCCACGACAATGGCGGAGGGAATCGCACACCGCGACGGTGGCGCCGCCGCGCGGCCCGGACGGATGGTCGCGAGCAAACGCATCGCGCGAGCGCCCGTCGCCGTCGCGTTAATTAATTACCGCATAGAAAGCTCGAATTTCCTCCGCTACCTCCCACTCCCTCCTCCTCACTCAACTCCTCCGCGCTCCGCTCCGCTCCGCTCCGCTCCTCCCTCTCCTGTCCGATTTTTATCGCGTGCGCGAGCGCCGCTGTTTACTCACGTGTTCCCGCCGGAAGCGCTCCTCGCGGCCGGAAGAGAACGCGCCAAGAGTGCGCGCGATGTTTTTTTGCCTCTCTGCGGGGATGGAGGCGAAACAGATGCTTTCGAATGCAAGTGAGCATCGCTGGTTCTCTTCTCTTTTTATTTTAGAGGATTTTTTTTTGCTGATCGATGTGGGTATTTGCGGTAGCAGATATAATGATAATGTTTGATGACGTATTGCGTACGTACGTTTATCAATGCTGGTTCGACTTTTGAAACGCTTCAGAGGAAAGGAGTAGAGTAAATGTAACAAAGTGAATACTTTTTTAATTTTAATAACGTTTTGAAGAACTTGATTAGCGAAAAAGAGAACATTTATATGTACAAAAATAGTACTAACAAAAGAGTCACGACCGATCTTCTCTTCCTCTTCCTTGTCCTATCATCACCCTTTCACATTGACACACGTACATGATTTATACTACTAGACATATCGAGAGACAAGTCGGGAGCCTAGAGCGGTTTCCAGATGAGTGCTCTGCCCTCGCGAGGGAGATAAGTAGAGGGGGAAATTCTTAGTCGTGTTGAGTGGTTTCAGATGTCACCATCCTGCGGAGAAGAAACCCTGCCACCTCCCGCGAAAAAAAACATGCACTGCACTAGCATGTTTAATGACCATAGTAGTTAAGGCTCCAGGAAACTTCAATCAGTAAATGCAATAATCGTAGACGTTAACATTCTCGGAAAATTCAATCAACCAATATAATGATCATAATTGTTAACTTTCCTGAAAATATCAATCAGTCAATGTAATGACCGTAGTTGTGGACGATCCCGGGAACCCCAATGCCCCTGCCTCAGCGCGGCGCTGCGCCGTGGCGGCTGCGCCCATGGGCGGGTGGTGGCAGGGCGGTGCGGGGGCGCGCCGCGGCGCCGCCGGCTCCTTCTCCGTTTGCTCCTGCTCCCGCTCCTCCTCCTCCTCCGCCGCCGCCCCATGTTCGTGACCTGCTTCTTCTGCCGGCGCCGGCGGCGCCGCCGCCGCCACCGCCACCGCGCGCACAAGCACCGCCTCCGCGACCGCGACCGCCCGCGTCCGAAGGCGTCGCCGCGCCCGCCGGGCGGCGACGAGGCGGCGGGGGCCGGCGACGAGAGCGACGACGACGAGGTCCTCGCCACGCTCGCCTGCTTCGCCGCCATGCCGCAGCCGGTGCTGCGCCGCGCGCGCGACCTCACGCCGCAGCCCGCCGAGATCGTCTACACGTGAGCGCGCCCTTTTGCGGGTCCAAACTCGATCGAAGACGGCCATTTTTTTGAGATTTTGAGAGCAAATAGATTTTGTTGAGAGCAAGAACAATCTTTCGTATGTCTTTCTTCGGACAAAGTAAAGCCGGCAGTGTCATGTTGTAGATTTAATTAATGTAAAGAATCGTCAAACGTGAAAGAAGCCACTGAACAAAATAGATGAACGAACATTCAAAAGGTGTCATGTCCATGTGGCTAAAATTGAGTTCTTCTGCTGTTTTACCTAGAATTTTGTGTCCAAAAATGTGAGATGTCTTACGATACACTAAGTAGTACTTTATTCGTTGAGTTAAAGAAAGTGTTGTGAAGTGTAAAAATTGTGCTATATTTTTCATTTTATTAGAAAAGAGTGAAGTGGAATAGTGAAGTGGATTAGGGGACGTGTCACGTTTTGAATGTTTGCACCTCAATTTATATCGCCTGTTTCGTCGCCTGAGTGATACCTTCTTTCTCCGGGAGGTGGCGAAAGAAGCATAGCAAAATTTGGTCAGAGGCATCACAGGCCTAATGGTCTGAGTCTAGCCACGAAAACTAAGGCAATCATTGAATTGAATAGAATATTAGTGTGTACGCTGCTGTTGAAAAGCGCTCGATCCACGAAAAAATCAAAACTGGTTCTTCTGAATGGTTCTGTTTTTGTGCTAAATTTGAATTTGATTGCTTCCTCAAAATAGGTTGGAATTACGGAGAACATAGCAAAAATACCACATTTTTTCAATATTGAACTGTTAATCTTTAAACAATGCCAATATTTTATTCACATTAGTTGGTATATACAGCGAAACCACAGCACAGCCTCGGATAATTTCAACTTAAAGTATTCAGTTTCTCGGAAATTATATGTTTTAATTTTGTGTAGAGTGGCTCTTTCGGTAAAACACAACTTTTGGGTGATATAAGCAAAAACTAAATTAAGCGTGAAACTTTTGTTTTTTCTTGAATTTTTTTGCATGACGCCGTCCGTTTTAGAGGTGGGAAACGTAAAATTGGAATTCAGTACCCGCAAGAAACAAATACACCAATGAGAAGAAAGAATACAAAATTTTCAGATACCTAGTGATTGGACAATAGTCAAAACGCGATAGTTCAGTTCTGGAGATTTGGTGCCAACCAGTCACTCAGCCGTCGACGAATATCAGGTCTCCGATTCCAGTCTGTAAATTTCTAAATTAGGCTGTTCCAACTGAGTTCAATAGCAGAAGTCACTAATTGCAGGCTGAGGGAGGATGGTAGGGTGCGAATCTGATGACTTCTGGCAGAAGGGAGGTCGAAGATAAAATGCCTTTCTAATTTTTGCATTGGTGCATAAGATCTTATAGATGTAACATCACTGATCAATTGATCAATTCTTCCATTCTTAATCAAATAAGTGTAACAGATCGGCATTGTACATTTTCTGTTGTACTTGAATTTTGTTTCTTAAGCAGCGGTATACCCACCACTTACTCTCCAACCTAAACGCGTTGATGCACACGTTCTGACATCAAATCCAGCCTCATTTAACAAGTCTTCCATTCATAATCATTTAGAAGGCGCGGTATAATTTTAAATGTCAGTTGTCTCGGTGGACTGTGAGTTCGCACAAAAGTGGATAAAGACATGGTAGATAAATCAAATACTGGTATGGCAAATAATATGAAAACGCACTTAGACTCTGGAGTGTAAAATACAATTATTAAAACATTAATAGCAATTGAGGACCATTTTTTCCACTTATGTCTGAAGCAATATTTCAAAGTTTAACATTTCCTTTATTTTTTAACTAATGTATGAGATTTAAAATAAATGAGAACGGTATACCACACTTATCAGTGTACAGATTTCATTCACTCTAATGGCATATCCATTATTTTCCTTACATGAACATTTCGAGCCAGTAGTCGCACCGAACGAAGATAGGAGGCAATTGGGAAAATCCCCGATATCACTTCACTGCAAGTAATATCGCTCAGAAATATATTTCCCTTAACTATTAATCATAATTCCTCACATCCACGAGGACTGCAAATCATTGTAATCAACATAGAATTGTTTGGAATTGAACTATCCAGCGTGTAGTGAGTTTTTTGACATGACCTTTTTTGACATCGTGCGCGCTAACTCATACTATGGGAGATTGTTTACAGGCGTATACATGCGTGGTTGTGGGCTGCATTAGCGGTTGCTGTAATGTGCACCGTGGTGATTTGGAAGTCTGCTTCTCTTGACCCACTCTTAATACAAGATGAGATCGACAACACAAACGTGAATAGCAACGTCAAGTTTTTGCGCTGGAATTCTGCGTTTTACTCTGGGAATGACGTTACGCCTTCCAGAAAGATTAACATGTGAGAGAACTTATTAGAACAACCGTATTGAATGTCTAGTATTTGTAAATACACTACTAGGCTCGGCCCGTACGAGGATAACACTTACACGTGTGCTCACGCGTGCTCACAGCTACAACTCCAACCCTAAATGGAATACTACTGCGTACGGCTTTCGCATACACCACTGCGCAACTCTGCGCGTATGACGTCACACAGGCGTCGCGTCCGATGGCCTGCAGCAGCGGATGTCAATTTGTGCTTCCCAGAAATCCAGATATCTGCTTTTCATAAAATATTCTTTCCTATTATCAGTCTCACAGCAAACAATGAATCTATTTATCTTACATTTGTTAGGACTATGCACTGCATAAACTGCCATGTTGGGAGAAGGGCGCTTCTACATCCCGTAAGTTGTAAAGTCCCCATGTTTACACGTGACTCGCGTTTGCATTCAGCATTCAATTATGGATCGAAATATAATAGGTTCCGAGACTTTCTGGGGATCTGGTTACGTAAAAAAATGTAGTATACAGTCGGGCTAAAATGAAAAGTTAACGTTATGGATTCGCGCAGACGTAATCCATACCCCTTTTTTATTTCTCCATAAAAAGGGCTTAATAGGGAGGAACCATTAAACAGATATTGACTACAGGTATATAACACATTTGTGTTTCTCTACATAATGTGCTCACATAATGTCACACATATATATTTAAACTTCACAATAGGCTCATTTCAGTCCGTTATAAGTTATTTTCAGTAGAATATTTCATTTTACAAAATGAAAATCATCTAGTGCTTTAAATGTATGCCGTAAGGAAACGAAGCTTGGTATTACATTTGCAAAATTAATTTTTGGAGTGAGTTGTAAACAGGAACACATAAACTGGATTATTCACCATTGTGAAATTTAGATATCAGATTATATTCCTCAACTTTGGAAAATCCCTACCCAGAAACTTCCGATATCATCTTTTGATCAGCTTTTCGTGATCCCGGGTCGGCTGGAAACGGCGGCCTCCCTGTAAGCCGCGTGTGTGTGGGTGTGTGCCCTGCAGAGAGTGGATGCACCCCTCCCGGCGAGCCCCGCGCCTCACCGGCTACTCCGTGCTGCTGTCGTGGCTCGTGTGGCTGGCCGACTTCCTCTTCCTACTCAACCTCATTCCCGGGGACGCCTTCCGCGTCGTGTGCGGGGACAACCTCGCCTACTAGAGCGCTCTGCTGCGTGCCGGCCCCGGCCCCGGCGGCGGCGGCGGTGGCGGTGGCAGGAAGCAGCGGTTTCGAAGGAACTTTGGGGACCCAACGCGCTTCAGCAGTCGCTGGGTAGTAACAGGTGTATCGGCGGCTGCGGGTGTGCAAAATAGAAACTGTAGAGTGGTGAACAATAAATTTTTAGCGCACAGTTGCTCTAGATCTCTCTCTCTGTCTCTCTCTGTCTCTCTCTGTCTCTCTGTGTCTCTGTCTCTCTGTCTCTCTGTCTCTCTGTCTCTCTGTGTCTCTGTCTCTCTGTCTCTCTGTCGCTCTGTCCCTCTGTCGCTCTCTCTCTCTCTCTCTCTGATGGTGCTGGTTTGAACGTGCTATATACTCCGGTATCTGTCTGAATTGATGTGATAGGAAACGATAAAAGCGACGAAAATCGCCAGCTACTAAAGATCAGAGTGAGTACATGAGTACATGTACATGAGTACATCGCGTAGAATCCATGGTCCATGGTTTAATATACTTCTCCAGCGTATTACTTGAGAGAAACTAAGGATAATGTATCACACGCGTTCCGTGGCTTATTGTTTAAAGAATTACTCCAACATTCGACCAATTGGTCGGAAGTAAGCCTGGAAACGACTGACCAGTGCACCCTGCCGACAGTTCTTATTCAAGACGTCCACTTGAGATGTTAATCAATAGAACAGCCTGTGGCAGGAAGCATGAGATTGCAAATGGACTTCTCGAATTGAACGCGCTACAGACGAAGCACCACATCATCGGCTGCTGTGGATGCAAAAGTGGAAGCACTAGAGTGGAGAAACAATAAACATTAATACAACAGGCCGCCTGGTTGAATTCGTACCCAAACATCGAATGAAATGTTGGATGATGGAATTAATTTATCAAATAACCAGACGGTAGTATTTTCAACGTTTTGTCATTCCCCAAATCAATTGTACTTACATCTCTTTACACTTGGTCTTTGGTTTACTAAATAAATACAAGTGCCTAAAAGTTGCAGCTAAACAGTGTTTTTTGGAATTGTATTTCATTTGCTATACACGATATATCTATAGGTTTTAGAATGTTTTTTAAAATTCAAAGAACGAATATTTATTTGGAACCTCAGATGAAGCGTAAATTGATAATTTTTCAATTTTATCTTGCTTTCTGAAAGGATTAGATGTTTTTTTATTCTGTAAATACAAAGAAAAATTTTCGTGTACGTTTACTTCATCTTGCTAAAATACAAAAGAAAATGTCTTTCGAACGGAAGAGATATTCTAATCTTTAATTTTGGTCCAGTGGTAAAGGGAAATTGAAATAATGACTCAAATGGTCACAATAAATACGAAAACCTTTCTGTTTGTGAGTGTACCGAGTTACACAA